GTCTGTCTGTCTGTCTGTCTGTCTGTCTGTCTGTCTGTCTGTCTGTCTGTCTGTCAGAGGGTTGTCGTCATAGTGGGTGTTTTCCTGCGTCCACTCCTCTTGCGAGTCGTGTTGGGCTCTAGCTACTGTGGCCAAGTCTCTTGTGTAAACTCCCGGCCCCCCGTGTGTCCCCGTGTTGGTACAGCGCCGAATGCCGCTGGATCAGGCCAGTCCTTCTCTCTGTTGTGTTCCGCCAATCCTCATTTTTTTTTTGGTGCTCCGTGGCTGGTTTGATGGGGATTAGGTCTTGTCCACTATCTCTGTTCCTGGCGAGCTGGCTGACCACTGGTTTGGCGCGTGCCGAGGACCGAGGACACACCAGGGTTGGGGAATGTGGAGTCTCTCTCTCTCTCTCTCTCTCTCGATCTGTCTCAAACCTGCCCCCTCCCCCCACACTCACAAACACATGCGATCCGAACCGCAACTGTGTACCTAGTGAGCTCCTAGCTGTGTGCTCAAGTCGGATGTGTCTGAAGATGGGCCCTCTCCTGGTGTAAAGATCCACTCGACCTGCTACTTTTGTGTGTGCGCGCCGATTGTATAGCTAATGTTGCACCTGTTTGCTCACTCTTACCTCTCTGTATAATTATGTGTGGCATAGAGGTGAAATCGGGTGCTTGTCAAAATAATGAAGCTGAAGACACCTACAGTTAATTTGTTATTATACTGTCTGGTGGACAGTTTTTGATAGAATTTTGGTTTTGGGCTCACTTATAAGCCTTTTTCAGTGAGGATTTTCTTGAAAAGGAGCCGATCAAAATTAAATGCGCACATATTGTAAATTTGAAGTTTTTACTACACTCTAGTTTTCTAAGTTACCAAACTTTGGCAGCCATTTTCTCACAAATTTAACCCCTGAAACTAGGAGACCTCCACCTCCTTTAATCGCAAATACTTCGACTCAAATTCAAGATAAGTGGGTGCTTCTTTCAACGAAAGCAAAGCAAATGAACAGATTTTAAAATTATATCAATAATTCCATATGCCCAAAAACTGACGAGCGCCTGATTCCATCGTGTCGTTACACTCATGGGAGGGCTGATGGCACTGTTGCTGCTGTTAAAGGGGTGGGTGATGATGCCGATGATGGTGATGGCGAACATTTTTTAATTTGCTAATTCGAAAGCCTGATTAGTTACCTTACTAATGTGAAAAAACCAAAGTGTGACTAGTTTTTTGAAAATTTATAAATCTGAATTTAATTTTCGGAAGCTCTCTATTTTTGATTAGTTTACACTGACAAAAACCCCTATTTTGCTCGAAACTGCTGTGAATAAAAAAGACGTTTTGTCAGCTTACAACAGAAATGTCTAGTTGATGGTTCTGATAGTGCTGATGATGTTGGTAAACGGTCAAACCTATTATATTGAAAGAAAAAAAAAGAAAAGAAAACAACCACAGCCAC